CAACGAAAACTAAAACAATATTGAAGAACGATAAATGAATGCCAATGTCAGAAGAATGCTCACCTTATTTTATCACGCTTTCCCTGCTCTTCACTTGGTACCCAAACGTCTATTTGCATTGAATGCGGGTAAGGACAATTCTCGACGGGAACTGCTTTGATTTCATTGCAAGCACACGTGCGAAGGTCGATGCTCACCACAGGCACCTTAAACATATACCACTTTCCATAAGCATTTCATGTCAACATCCTTCGATTATAATCAAAATCATTTTGATGCTCACAACGAATATTGAAGAACGATAAATGAATGCCAATGTCAGAAGAATGCTCACCTTATTTTATCACGCTTTCCCTGCTCTTCACTTGGTACCCAAACGTCTATTTGCATTGAATGCGGGTAAGGACAATTCTCGACGGGAACTGCTTTGATTTCATTGCAAGCACACGTGCGAAGGTCGATGCTCACCACAGGCACCTTAAACACATACCACTTTCCATAAGCATTTCATGTCAACATCCTTACTTCGATTATAATCAAAATCATTTTGATGCTCACAACGAAAACAAACAAAATTTGCTAGAGTCATCACGAAAGCTCTACCTTAGTGTTTTCGTCTTCAGGATACCGCCAAAATCGCAATTGCCCTTCACTGAGAACACACCAAAAACGTGTCCACGATGCCAGATTTTCCACATCTTGATACAAACTCTGAAAGTTGCCAATTCAAATATAAACACTTTGAACACGGATAATACAATACAATACAATTCAATTCAAACTCTCTTCAACATTAAAAATCACTAACCAAGAACGCTTTATGTCCAATCGTTCCACTCTCCTCCGCATAACATTTCAAATTCATTTCGATCGAACCGTCCAGTGGCGACATTGCATCGAGCAGCTGGAATTTACTCTTTCGAATCGAATTGATATTCAGCGTAAGACCACCGACCAATTGGAACGATGGATCAACTTCGGCTGATGGCCCGCCTGGAGACGACAGAAACGCTGAAAATTTGTTTCATCAAAAAAAATCTCCTTTTCATGAAATTTATCCGAGGTCTTTGACTCGTTACAAAAAATTTGCATACCAGCATTCAGCAATGGCGATTTTGTGCCTCGCTTCAAAGTTGCTCCTTTGAGACGATATTTTTCGTGATGTTTTATCACTTCTCGATGAGTGCGCTGAAATAAAAATTGCTCTTAGAAAAAATCTCTATTAAACAAGTCATCAATAACAGAATATATATTTCATGGAAACGTTATTCCACAGAACAAAAAACCAATCCTTCACTTAATTCTATTCGTCAAAACGATTATTCATTCCAAAAAACACAAACACTTCCAAGAGATTCATAACACTTGACGTTTTCATAAAACAATTTTGCCAAACTTTCATAAATTCCGTCAAAATTCAAAGTTCTACAATGAAAACTTACAAAACATTCACTTCAAGAGCACATATAAAATACAAATCAACTGACCAGAGCGTAGATTTCCAACGAGCAAGTGAAATCGTGCGGTAGTGATTTAAGTTGAATGTAATGCGGAAATTCGAGTTTGCCACTTTTGAGACCTTCGTCACTGGTGATCATTGTTGTATGCATAACGCATTCACCGTAACGAATCAGAACGATGAAGTAAAATAGAAGTTGATCTGCAATTCCTCTTTCATTGTATGGTATCATTTCACTCCGAACAAAATTCCATCTCAACTCTCACTTGCAAGCACATCCATTTTCCATCAAAAAATGCTCAGAAATCAGCACTCCAATATGGCAAAAACTTGATAAATTAAGGAAAACGAATAACTTCTAAAGAAGAAAGACAAATGCAACGAACCGTTGTGAAAGTTTATGTGTCCATTTATGAAATCACGCATTAGCTTGATATTAATGTTCGATATTGTCAGCGTTCCTTTCGGACCCGATGGCTGGTTTGTGCGCATTCCATCGGCTCGTGCTTGTTTGATTCGATCCAACTCAAAAATCAGCGATCTACGACGTTCAGTTGCAAGCAATAACGCACGTTGTGCATCAACCTTAAATTATAAACAATCACCAATTAAACAGTGAACGTTCGAATAAATGATCGATAAACAACTGAACAAATGAATTCATTAAACGAGTAAACAAAAATTGAATAGATGAATTTAGACTAAACGAATTTATCAAAACAATCACTACGAAACGGTATCTTTCCTCAGCACATATCAATGAACAAACATATAAATTCAACTGCTTATTATAGATTATCAAACCAATATTGATGGTTCACATTTCCAATGCAATCAAATGTAATTCCGGTGAACCACGGCAGACAAAGGCAATGAATATCTC